GCCGCAGGTGTCGGGAATGACGGGTGTTGGATTCCTCTCCCTCCCGCCCACTCTGACGAGGTCACCAGGCCTGGCACACAGATGGCTTTGTTCCCTCCTGCCAGCCCCGCTCCCCATGAGGTCATGCAGCTCCCTCTCCCCCGGCCAGGGCCCTGGAAGGTCACATGCAGAGACCCCGTGTCTTCCCAAGGCACATGCTGCTGGACACCCCCACCCACACCGATGCCCCTGATGTGACAGGAGCTGTCAGGACCTGCAGGATGCGGGGAGCAGAGGCTGCCGAAGTCCTACTGCAGCCCACATTTCGTGAGCCCCTCAAACCCTGCTCCCCAAGAGGATGATGCATTGGGGTCTGCGTGGGTTTCCACAGGCGCCATGGTCCTGTTTCCAAGATGGAGAACCCTGGTGGGTGACAGTGCGATGATCATGCTGGTGGCTGTGACCAGGGTGGCCCAAGGGGTCCCCAGCACACACACCGGCCACAGAGCTCAGGGCACGTCCCCTCAATATGGGGGCTCCAGGGCGGGGTGTGAGGCTGGGGAGAGGGGTTCACAGCAAGGCCCATGCAGTCTGTCTCAAAGCCTCCTCCACGACGTGCTCCTAACTGGGCTGCACGGTGGACAGAGGATGCCAGCTGAGCTGCCCCGGCCTCGTGGCGGGGACCCCCACCCCACCCTGGGACTCTGTTTGCAGGTCCGGGACACAAGCATCCCCAGCTCTGCTCCCAGATGGGCCCAAGCCCGCATCTGCACCCAAACACACCAGGGGCCAAAAGTTCCAGGCTCTGAGGGGTGGGCGGAGCACAGCTCGCACAGGAAGGGGACACACGTTGTCTGCTCTCAGTGCCAGCCTGGCTCCTGAGGAAGGCAGCGCTGACCTGGCGGGCCGGTCGGTGAAGCCTCTGACGTGCCAGCGTGGGATGCAGGGAACCGTCTGACGGGGTCGAAAGACCTCTCCTAAGGACAGGATGTAGACAGGAACACTGTCCAGAGGCCCGCTTCCCTCGGGGACCCTGGCCCACTGCTGTCCCTGGCTCCGTGTCTTGTGACAAGGGCCTGGTACTGCTGATGCTTGCTGATGTAGAAAAGTCATTTAGTCACTTAACAATATTTATTGAACAACTCCTGGGAGTCGCTTGAGGCCCTGGGAACCGGACAGGAGGAGACCAAGTCCGCAGGCTCCCGGGATGTGGAGCAGATGGGTGGGGACAGGAGATAAAAGCAGACGCACAGACACAGATGAGGAGAGGTGACAGCAGGGCCCACCTAACTCCGCTCTCCATGGCTCTTGTCCACCACCCTCGGCGTCACAGAGCGGCCTCCCCTCCTTCCCGCGGTCCGGCTCTGCAGGCCGGTTCTTCCTCCGGGCTTGCAGAGGTCCCGGGACCTCAGGTGTCACCGTGGCTGGCGTGGGATCACATGGCCTCAGGCGCGTGTCGGGGCCGTGGTGTGGTGGTCAGCTGGACCCTCTGTCCACGTGGTTCTCGTGGTCTCGGGTCCAGCCTGGGCCCCCTCACATGGTGGCTGCAGGGTTCCAGGGGCCACACATGGCTGCAGAGCTGTTTGGGGCTCAGGCCCTGGAATGATCACAGCATGGCCTCTGCCACAGCGTCCCGACACTGACACACACACACACACGCATGTGCACACACACACGCGTGCACACACACACACACACACACACGGGGCCCAAGAGCAGACCAAGTCAGGAGGCCGGGGAAAATGAACTCTGTTCTGGTGACACCACAGTGTGGTTTTCAATCAACCAAGGGCCAGAAAACAGAATAACCAGGGCCAGGAGGGGCAGACGTCAGAAACCGGGACTGACGCTGGCTGGGGCAACAGCGTTAGACTTTAAAGGGTGGTTTTCTGTTTTTGGTTTTTCCGAGACAGGGTCCGCTGTGTGTTTCAGGCTGGCCTTGAACGCATGGTGGTCCTCCTCGGCCTGCAGCACGCCCGGGACTGAGGGGCAGTCAGAGGCGGCCCCGAAGCCAGCTTCCTGTGGGGCTGCCCGCCGGCGGAGTGGGCCCTCTGGATGTCGGTGCCGGCTGCTGTCCCTCCTCTGGGACTGTCTGGTTTGTGCTGACCCTTGAGCAAAGCGAGGACCCACCCAGGGAGGCCTGGGAAGTGGAAAGGGGAGGAGCCCAGGAAGAGCCCTACTGCGGGTCCCTCTGCCACTTGGCCCTTCCAGATTTGAGCCCTGGTGGCACAGGGCTGGGAGGGGCAGAGGCTTCTGAGAAGGCAGCCTGGATGCTGTGCCCTGAGGATGAGGGACTGGGAGCCAGCATGAGGCAGGGCACAGGTTCAGCTCATACCAATGGCCTGGGGTCACCAATGTGAAGCTGAGCAGTGGGCGAGGGGCTCCTTGTGGAGGCCTGGAGGACACGGTGAGATGGCTGGGTTTCCTTCTCCACGTGGTAGTGGTGGGGGGACAAAGGGCATTAAGCCAGGGACAAAGATGGGGACCTTTCTTTTCCTATACCTCCATTCTTTGATTACTCTATTTTGAGACAGGGTCTCATGATGCTGCCTAGGCTGGGCTTGAACTTGCACTTTCCTGCCTCAGCCTCCTGAGAGGCTAGGATTCCAGGTGTGCACCACTATGCCTGGCTAGACAGTGGGACTCACCAACGCACTGAGAATGTGACAGCAGAGCAGGACGGGGCTGGGGTCTGTAGGCCGGATGGTCAGTAGCCAGCGAAGCTGGGAAAGAGAAGGCCCAGGCCGGGCCGCAGCCTCGGGGCGGGGAGGTTCCAGCTGCTCGGACCCCGAGCCGAGGCCCAGCGGAAGTGCCCTGGCCGGCCCCACTCACTCACCGGGTAGCAGAGCTCCTGTCCCGAGTTGGGGTAGTGGTGGGTGTCCCACTGGTCCCTCCAGACCTGCCACATTCCGGCACCTGTGTGGGGGTGGCAGGTGTGCAAACACACTCCACGGCTTCAACTGACACAGGAGCGCAGCCTCGGGCCCTGGCCGGCTGCCTGACAGTGCTCCTCCTGCCCGCAGGCTCCAGGGAGATCCGGCCCTAGTGACCCTGCATGCCCTGCTCCGACCCCCCTTCCCTCGCCCCTCCTGCTTTCCTCTTGTAGGAACCCCGTGGTGACAACAGGCCCACCCAGAAAACCCTGGATGACCTCCCATCTTAAACTCCTCCTCCATTCAGCCATGCCTGGTGGTGCAAACCTGTAATCCCAGCATCCTGGGAGGCTGAGGCAGGAAGATTGCAAGTTCCACCTCCCAGAAAAAAAATGCTAAGTAACAGGCTCACTGGTTCTGGGGCACCTTTGAGGCTGGGGACTCGGTTTGTGTACCATAGGGTTTGGGGGTCACAAAGTGCTTTCAGCAGCCTGTGAACTGCCTCGGGGTCCTGGGTGCTGCTGGCCACACCGAGGGGTGCGGGAGCAGAGGAGGCTTTGCTGGTCCCAGGCCCATTGTGCGTGGCTGGTGACACAGCAGTGACTCCGTGGGGGAGGCGGTGGCCAAAAGAACACAGCCCGAGGTCAGCATGCTGGGTTGTTCAGGCCAGGCAGTGACTTTCTCAGCCGCTGAGTGGGGGTGTGAGGACCTCACGGGGCCCCTGGCTCCCTCGGGCAGGTCTCGGGCACATGGCATGGTACCTGCCTGGTTTCCACCTCCCCAGATTCCCGGTCACTTCTGGATCCCTCCTGCGGTGTATACAGCTGCTGTGCCGTGTTGTTCAGGGAAGGGGGACAGAGGGGACCCGCTCTGTGCACAGCCGCCCTGAGATGACTGGCGCTGCCATGGGTCACACAGGCACCAGGAATCATGAAAGGAAAGCCCGGGTGTGGCCAGGACGGCGCGAGGCTTGGCGGCCTGACCTGGCCTGTGACCCTCCGCTGGGTGGATACAGCAGGGCCTGCAGTTTCAAGGTCCACAAGGAGCTTCAAGAAAGTCAGTTCCAGCCAGTCTGGGAGGCTGAAGCAGGAAGATGGCTTGAGCACACAAGTTCAAGACCCACCTCAGTAACAGTGAGAGTGTGTTTAAAAAAACAAAACAAAAAGAAAAAACCCTACTCTGTCCCTTCAGAGAGACAGGCAGAGTGTGACGCCATTGTGGGTACGGACGTCAGAAGGGGCTTGTGTCTCGGCTCTGCCCCTCCATCGGGCCCAGCTTTGACAAAGTGACTTCTCAGTGCCTTGGGCTCCTTTTCCTGTGGTGGCAACAGTCTCCGGACAGTGCCAGCCTCCTGCACCCTGGAGGTCCCCACTGTGTGATGCCAGCCTGGTGGCCTCCTCCGCCGAGCACAGGGACATGGGTCAGGGCTTCCTCACTGGCTCTGCCACTGCACTGGGCACACTTGCGCCATGGACAGGAAGTCCAGTGTGGGGCCTGACCCAGGGACAGGGGACAGAGCTTCCCGGCTGGGGGAGCTAGGGGGGCTGGGGCTGGAGTCCCATTGCCCCAGTCACACCACGTGGCTGTCACGTGTCCTGAGCCCTGGCCTCCCGCGTCCCCATAGTCACCTCATGGTGGTGGTGGGGGCACAAAGAGGTGGTCAGGCCCACAGGATGCCACGCTGCCCGCCTGCTCTGAAGAGCAGGCCCTTTGGCCCCTGCAGGTGACCTGAGCGTGGACACGCAGGACGCTGTCAGGCTGGACCTGCCCTGGATGGCTTCCTGAGCCCACTGAGGTCTGTGGGTTGTGCTCCGTCCTGGCAGCAGGAGGCCAGGGGAGGGGTTCACCCTCCACGGAGGGAATTCTATGGCAGCAGCGGGTCTCCGGCCTTGGCCTGTGCTGCTGGCGTCCAGCGTCCCTCCCAGAGAGAGGCCAGAGGAAACCGTCTCAGAGGGAGTGACAGACACCTTCCGGGACAGGTGGGAGAGGCTGAGGCAGCACCGCCGAAAGGACTTCAGGGACAGCTGGGTCCAGGAGCTGACCCTGGGCTTCAGAGGTCTCAGCCCCGAAGGCCAACAGACCCGTGTGCTGCATGCACACCTCTGACCGGCAGGAACCACCTCAGCAACCGGAAATAACCAGCACGCCTTCCCGTCGAATTCTTTTATTAGGTTAATTAAACAGCTTAGAGACAATCCATTTTGTTCAGTACCCTTCTAGAAAATATTTCAAGTTTTAAATGAACTTCCAACACAGAAAACAAAATTACTTGTACCATACACAAATTTCAGATCAAAATACAACACTTTCTGTTTTCTTACAGTTATAAAATCCAGTCAATACAAACTACGTAAAAAAGATAAAACATTTTCACTGATCCTTGGTACCAGAGCACAATGGCAGAGGCGTCCTGCCCCCGGGCGTGGTCGGGCACAGGGACCCCACGACACCGCGCCTAGAAACAAAGTGCCTGCGGCTTAACGTGAGGAAGTCCACGTGCCCTTCTGTGCCAGTGTTATTTGTAAACCATAAAGCAACTTTGTACGAAAGGTCATAATCAAAGTGACGTCTAACTTCACTAAACTTCATACCTGCAAAGCGACAGAGAATCACGCCCAGAATCCCCCGGTACCTCTGGCTGTGACAGAGACAGTCCACTAAAGCAAGCCAGCACAGTTTCCGTACGAGCCCACTGGATTCTGGGAGTACAGTTTCACAAGGTGCAATCTCCAAATACTTTGAGCTATCTGTAAAATGTGCTTAATTTATGTATGTTCATTGCAAACGACTGCTTTTCAGCAGGAGACTGTCTGAAAAGCACTGTGTCACACACAAAACAACCTCGATCTGAATATATGTCAAAGTGGACCTCGCAACTTCGAACTTTCCTACATACAAGGCTTAAATTAAAAACCATCTGTGAGTACCAGGCCAGAAAAGATACAGACACATCAAACAGATCTGCATTGAAGGGATGTCCTTGGGGACGGTGTTTTTGGAATCTGGAATTTATGTGGTCTTTATGGCATTTTCTTCATGGCATTAACTGCATCCAAAACAACAAATCCAGTGTGCCCTAAAACCCAGTTCTTTGGATGGTGACAGTCACACACTAAGCGCCCCACATGACACTGGCAGGTGCGGGCTGGCTGTGCTACAGGACCTGGAATTTGGGAGCACTGAACAGAATACACAGTCCTGGGGTAAGGAGTTCCCTTGGCAGACTCCTCTGGTGGTGACAGAGACAGAACACAGGTCCCTACAGACAGCACACCGGGCTCAGCACTGGTGACACAGCGTGGGGATGAGGTCTGAGAAGGATGGAGCTCTGGGGGGCCCACTAACTCTGGGATTGGCCACCCCAAACCACAGAACGGGCCACGACAGTGCTGGCCACTGCACTGAAGCCACAGCTTTTTTTTTTTTTTTTAAATGATTGTCACAGGCCACAGAGAGAGGGACACAGAACACCACCCCCTGTCATGGGGGACTTGAGCACACAGCAGGAACCGACTAAAGCTGGGTTACCAGGGGGTTCACAAGGAAAAGACCCCCCACCCCACCCCACCCCACCGCGGGAAAAGGCGCTGAATGAAACCGCCGGGGCCTGCCTCACAGGCACCTCGGTCAGCAGAAGTCACTCAGCGCCCCCCGATTCCCACTGTGCTTGGAGAGAACTGTAGACCCTGGGATGGCGGGGGGGGGGGGGGAGTTCCTCAGTCCTGAAGCTGATGGAACCACATCCGCCTGATTCTTTTTTAAAGCATCAGACTCCAGTTCAATGAACTATGCTAGATTAATAATATTTTTGGTTTTATTTTTATTTATTTTTTGGTACCAGGGATCAAACTTGCGCCCTGGTGTTTGCCAGGCAGGCGCCTATGCTGCTGAGCTAAATCCCCGGCCCTAGATTAATAATACAAAAAACATTTTCTGGGATTTCTATTTAAGCAAAAATTTCTTCTGGCAAAAATACAAAAACCTGGTCTCTTTTTCGCTCTCTCTCTCTCATTGTAAACAAGAATTCTGATTTTAGATTCAACTCCCGATCTGCAGTGTAGGGTGGAGACCTCGGTCCCAGGGTGTTCTCTGAAAGGCACCCCAGGACACGGAGCTGCGTCCTGCCCACAGGACCCACCCGGCCTCCTCAGGGTGCAGCACCGCACTGGCTCAGGGGCTGCCCTGGGTGCAGGCTGAGGTAGCAGGGTGGCCCGGGCCCTGCCTGGGCAGGCAGCAAGGTGGCTGCGGGCCACACCCGGGGAGCTCCAGGGGTGCAGGAGACAGGCCTGGCACCCCACAAGCCCCCAGAGGACACAAAGGTCTGGGGCACCAGAAGAAGGATGTTCGTGTCCCCCTTTCCTCTTTTCTTTGCTACACAAGTCAGGTAGTTAGAGAACCAGGCCGGGAAATGGAGGCTGCAGGCGACTGCCAAAAGCGGGTGTAAATAAGAAGGTTCTCACACACAGGACACCAATGCCCTCCTCCCCAGGGGGAAGGCGCACCTCCGGGTGGGTGGCCGCGGGAGAAACCGACCCGAGCTCAGATCGAAGGTCTCCAGCCCAAGGCCAGCTCGGCCACCTGACAGGCAGCGAGGGCGAGAAGCACAAGTGCACTGGGCAGGACGCGGGAGAACCCACAGGCCAGCTGTGGACGGGGGGGGTGCTGTGCACCCCGGAGTCAAGGCAGAGCCGGCGGTGGCCGCCCCACTGCCGCAGGACCACCTCAAGGGGCTCTGAGGCCAGCCCTGTGCTGGGCAAAGCACGGCGTCCTGCTGTCACCCAAAAACGGAGGATGTCTTGGGCCGACTCCCAGCAGAGGGCCCCTGCTTATCACCACCTCTGACAGTCTGCATGCGCATTTTGGGGCTGTTCCAGGCACAGAGTCACCCTGAACATAACCAACGACATGGAGGGGTGCACAGGTCCACAGGGAAGAATTTCATAAACATGCAGAGAAATACAAGCCTCAGATCTCAAGTGGCACAGACACTGGAACGCAGGTGGTGGCGAGGCCCGAGGAGGACAGTCGGGACGAGGTCGCCCGCATGCTGGACAGGTCAGAAAGGAAGCTGTGAGTCTCCTCACCTCTGCCTGCGGGGACACTGGGGAAAGCATGAGCTCAGGGTCAGGGAGACCCCTCACCATCGCTGGAGAAGGGGGAAGGGAGGCTTGCTCCCCAGACATCGCTCGTGGGAAGGGCCTGGGTCTGCTGGGTCACTGTCACCTGGAGAGAAGCCCCTCACTCTGGAAAGCCCACGACCATACAGCCTTTTTTCCTTTTCCAGTCTGCCGACTGAACGCCAGGGCCTTTGTCCTGGGCTACACTCCCAGCTCTTTGTTATGTTTGGTGCCTGGAATTGAACTCAGGACCCTGGGCTGGCAGGCAGGTGCTGTGCCACTAAGCTATACCCCGGCCGGTCCCCAGTTCTTTTTTTTTCTTCTCTCAGATAGGCTCTCACTTTGTTGTCCAGGTGGCCGAGCTCCTGCTGACCCAGGCAATCCCCATCCCTCAGCCTCCCGAGCACTAGGATTACAGGCGTGTACCACCATGCCTGGCCCTTTTTTAAAATTTGGAAACGGGGACTCACTAAACTGCTGTTTCCCAGGTTGGGCTCAAACTTGTGGCCCTCCTGCCTCAGCCTCACAGAGCCCTGGGAGTAGAGGCATGCACTACCATGTCTGCTGGGCTCAAATTATACCTTAGTAATTAATGAAGTTTAGATTTCACCAAACTGAAGTTATTCTGAGTGCTCATGGCCTTGAGGCATGGGTTTAACTCCTGACTACTGAGGAGCCTCCCACCTAAGCCGGTCACACAGGACTGTGCTGACCATGAGGTCACTGTGGAGGGCGGGCTGTCCATCTGGAGTGGGAAGGAGCCTGTTGCACGTGGCGTGGAGAAGGCACAGGTGCAGGAGGAAGTGGGGACCCCCCACGTGTGGAACAGAGCACAGCGGTCCCGACTGCAGCACAGTGCACCTCTGCACCACTCATCCACGCCCACACTTGTGCTCAGGAAACGCCCAGCCTCTCACCGTGGAGTCCTGGGCCACGAGAGCTGACTCACAGACGAGGGATAGGACCATGAGTCCACCTTCCGACTGACACTGGGGATTCCCGAGAAGCAAGCACCGCAGAGGACAGGAGCATCGGGGCGGCGAGCCCCTGAGCGCCAGGGCCAGTCCCGCTGCACACAGACTGTCTTCCCTGCTGACCCTAACCAGCGGGGAGGCCCCGCCTCTTTACACAGCAGTGTTTAAATAGGTCCCCTTCCTGCTGCATGGAAACGGAGCCCTTCAAAGACCCTGTGCAGTCCAAGCTGAGCTTCAAGCACGCATTCTGCAGTGGCTGCAACACAATCACTGCCCTCCTGATTAAAAGTTCCAATTCTGCACACAGCAGGAAGGTGGCAGCCCGCCTGGAGAACTGTGCTCCTCAGGGCCGCGCACTGCCTGCCTCCAGGCCTCTGCTGAAGGGCAGAATGTGTTGAATTCTTTGGAACTGGCAGGGGATCAAGCACAACACTCCACAGGGAGGTAGCCGAGAAGTGTTTCCTGTCAACACAGAGCACAGGGGAACACAGGCATGTCACCTCCTCCCCTCAGGCAGGAGGCACGGCAGGGCCAGGGCGCAGTCCTGTTAAGTCAGGTCCACGACGCTAAGTGGCACAGCTGCGGACATCTTCTTGTGGTCTGATGGGAGGGACCTAAGCCTGTTGGTACCGACATGCTGAAAAGAGGGCCCTACTCAGGATCACTAGAGAGGGGCTGAGGATACAGCTCAGCGGCACGAGCATCTGCCGGGCAAGTGCAAGGTTCTGAGTTTGATTCCTGGTACTGAAAGGCAATTATCACTAAGGAGAAAACCAGCCCAGGTGGACCTGGGGTTCGATGCGTCTGGAGTGGATGGCCACTTCTTTCTTCTGTCCTGGGGACTGAACCAGGATCTCAGCTCATCTGCTCCCCTCTCTTTTGAGACCAGGTCCCATCCATCCCTGCGGGGCCCAGATCTTCCTGCTTCAGCCTCCCGAATGCTGGGATTTCAGGTTGTGCCTCTGTACCCCGATGAAGTGGCCATTTCTTTCATGGGTCCCCTCACCTGGCTGCCTGCCCTTCCATCTCCCTGGTGTGTCCCAAGTCTGTGGGGCATCACTGCTGTGCTCCAGGGCCTCCTCGGATCCAAACCAGGATCTCAAAGCACACTGGCTTCTGACAGCGCGAGTCAGCGCACCCTGCTGGGCCACAAGAGCGTCAGAATTTATCATGAGGCCGAACTTCACCCAGACAGCAATTTAAAAGACTGGCTGTTTCCTCCAAAAAAAGGCAGGCTTTATCAGACACTTGGTCTCATGGGAAAGAGAGTTAAAAATGCAATCACGTGGAGAATTCCGATGACAAGGTGGAAAAGGTGCTGGTTCCTACACTGTAGGCTTCCGATTGAGGGGCTCAGAGGCATAAAGCAGCCTCCTCACCTCACATAAATGCAACTATGATACACGGGGAGATTTTTCAAACTAAAGCAACAATAGAAGTACTCTTGAAAAATACAAGTTTAAAAAGTTTTATCAGCAAAAAATAATCTAGAGAAGGTCTTTAAAGTTCAGTACCATGGAGACTTTCGGGCCAGGAGAATGAGACCCTGGTTCCTGTTCCCTCCTGACAGCACGGCGGCCTGTGGTCACTGAGGAGCGGAAGAGGCGGGGTGTACTTCAGGGGCTGTCACAGCTACACAGCCACTTCCTCCGCGTGCCAAGGCCTTCTCTCTCCCCCGCTGACGACGTGCAGGAAGAGGATGCCTCACTCTTTGCAGGGCGGCCCCTTTCTCTTCCCGAAGGGACCCCGATTTCTGTTCTCTGACCCTGCTGTATGGTCACTGACAAAAACCTGGCACTCAGGGACTGGGGCAAGGCATGCTGGGGAGCCAAGCACAGGTCTTGGGCACCCCAGGGCGCACATGAAGAACGCAGGCTTGTGCGTGGCATGTAGGAGGCACTTTGTAGTAGTTTTTATTTGATGCTAGCTTCCTCCTCTCTCTACCCAAGGCCAGCCCTCGTGGGTACAAAGCTGTCCACTTAAAATCCAGCAAAACCGCTTTTCTCCCAGTGAGAGCATCTCCGTGACCGCAAGGGTCCTGGCATCCCTTGTCAGACACTAAGCACCTACTGTGTGCAGGCACCGGCTCTGTGGTGACTGGAGGGGTCCTTGCCCCACTCCGTGAGTTTACCAGCGAGTCAGCGAGGGACGGCAAGGTGACATTTGCTTTGCTGCTGGGCGCCACTCTTGGAAGGAGCTGGGTGACCTCTGTGGCCTGGGCCTGGCCAGGCCTGTCTGCTGTCACGGGCTCCCTTGGGGCGGCTACAGAGGACAGCAGCTTCCTTTCCCTCCATGAGGCCTTCCCAGCACCTTTAGGTCTGCACAGACAAGTCCCCCTTGCACCCTCCAGGGAACTCGTGTCAGCAGGGTCATTGCAGAGCTCCTGGCTCTCCCTGGGACACTTCTGGACACCTGCGGGGGTCACAGCATAGGAAAGGAGTGAACAGAGTCTGGGGGAGCAGGGGAAGCTGACCCCTGCCCTTCAGTGCACAGAGCCCTTGCTAGGACAGCCCTGTCTGCATCGTATCGATGGAGGATGCGTTTCTTGTGCTTCGCAGGGAGTCTTCCCTCGCTACAGACTACAAAGACTTTTTTTGGTACCAGGAATCGCACTCAGGACCTTGGGCTTGCCAGGCTGGCGCTGCACTGCTGAGCTGTCTCCCCGGCCTAAAAAGACCCTGCACACCATCAAGGAAGAAAGTGCCGCAGAGAAGCAGCGGGGCAACAGAACAGAACGGAACGGAACACACCGGACGCAGGCCCACACGAGCTGTCGGCTCCTCAAGGTAGAGAAGCACAAAGCTAACACCCTTCAGCCGCATCTTTACTGTGCACCAGCTCCTGCTTGTTAAGGGCTACTTTTAATTCTGCTAACAAAGAGACATGCAAACCCCAGGCAAAACTTAGCTGCACTGGCCGGCAGTTCCCTATTTAGTCATGAACAGACGGAAGGTCACAGGCGCGAGCGCTGCTCAGAAGCACCAGGAGACAGGAACATGCTGGTGCGAACTACAGCTCCCCGGGAAACACACGCGGCCCCACCGTGCACACCTCGCTCGCCCATAACCTCTCGTAGCAGAGCGGCACTTCCAAAATAAGACATTAAATCAGTCCCTTAAAACACCTACGGCTGGATGTGTTAGACAGAGAAACAAACAGAGCAGCCCACTTCAGACGGCGGCCCCCTGCTAGCGTGCCTTAATCCACCTCCCGCAGGCAGCCCGAGACGATACCCCACAGCAACGGCGACGGCAGGGAGAGGAGGACGGCTGCGCTGCCAGGGACATCCGCGCTGACCACTTTACCACCCGTCCTCGGCTGCCAGTGCAACACACCTGGTTGGGCTGCAGCCCCAAGGGGCAGCACCCTCAACCTTACCCGGAAATGACCTCCGAGGCCTAAGTGGAATGTGAGAACACAAACCTGCACGAAACCAACGATAATCTATTTCACAATACTGAAATGAGTATAATTTACAAAAAAGTTGGTTAGTTTTGGAATATAATAAAGTTAAATAAAGCCCTACATGTCTCTATATTTATATAAAATAAAGCAGCAGTTTGGCACTTAGCAGCGTTTGTTGGTTATTGCATCCCATATTCAGTGGCAGACTGATTTTACAGACCGTTAGTTCTGCAGCTACAGGGAAAATGGACTGAACTTTAAAACAGTTTTCCAAGTGAGTTTATCAAGTCACACAGGCGCGCCAGTATCGCCACTGGGCCCACTCACCCCTCCACCGTGAGCTGTGCCCTGGGGAGGCCTGGCCACGAGGAACCCGGGTGTCAGGAGCCACGGACAGAGCGCTGCCGCCCTCACGGCTGTGACGGGTCCCGAGCTGCGGAAGGCCCAGGGTCCGTCCCGTGGGGCTGTGTCACTGAATCCATCTGCCTGAAACTAGTGTCTAACTGTAAAGGAAGTGCTCTCTTCTGAGTGGTCACACACCGGAGGACGGGGGAAATGTGCGGACAGCGGGCTGAGGCGAGCGTGGCACCGCTCTAGGCTGACCCTGGCCACGCTGGACCAGCTGGCTCGAGAGAGTGTAGGGCTCTCAGCAGCCTCCCACCAGGGCGGGGAGCTCAGGTGCCCGGCACCTGCTGCTCCCAGAGCCCACGGGCCTGGCCAGTGTGCAGCCTGAGGGAGCGGCCTGCCTCCGGCAGGGTCAAGAGACAGGGAAGTGCGGGTCGCAGCTTCACGCCCCGGCCGGGGAACATGCGCAGTGTTTCCTATGCGTGTTACGGCACAGCGCACTTCCCACAGAGAGTGCTCCCAAATCCACCACCAAGGGTCATTTACACATTTATTCATCCATAGGACAAGATTCTTAGAGCCACATTGTAAGAGAAAAAAAATGCGTAGAAAATAATTAGAAATGAAGCACTCTATGTCACATTGATTAGAAATTTGATATTGCATAAAATTCAAAGTATGAAGTAATCAAGCACTTTGAAGTCCCTGATTTCACACCGAGGTGGTACAATTCGAGTGGAAAACAACGTGTCTTACAAGGTAAGTCCACCCGTGGAGAATTCTCTCCCTCCTGGGGGAGAGAGGCGGGAGTGAGCGACAGGAAAGGAGGGAAGCGGAGCTCGCGCTATCAGAACAGAATGAAATGCAGGTGAGGTAGTTCATCCTACCAGCCAAACGTTACTCGGAATAATCTGTCTAAAACACACCAGCGAGAGGCACCGGGAACATTCTAGTACAGCGAGTAGCTTTTCAACACAGACTCACATTCTGAACAAGTGTCCCCACTAGACAGCAGTAAACGGGACTGTGTGTGCTTTCAGTTTATAGTAAAAAGGTTTGATCCCTATGCATTTCAACCTGATGGATTTTTTTTAAAGTCGTAGCAGACTCTTGTTATTTGTCTACCTCGGGTCTTTCTTCTATAACATCTCCTACCCTCTAACACCCTCATTCTTACAAAAGGAGGAATGGCACTGCACGAGACCCTTCACAATGCCGAAGGACCACTCCGGAGCTTACAGCATGGTGTGTCTTCACGGAAAGGAACGAAGAGGTTAGCAAGGTCCCTTAGGGTCACAGGAGGGCTGCAACTGACTCATGGAATTATCGGACCTTTACACTGCTGAGACAGACAGTATAAAAGAGGTTTTATCTTAGTGTCAATTCATCATGATAGTTTTAAAAAGTTCTTAGGACAGAGCACTAGTGATACAGACTAACTGGCATACAGTCCAATCTAACATTTTAGGCACAGACTTTAATTCACTGGGCAGGGTTAGGCATAATAAATCCTTCCAAGTGCAGTAGAAAAGCAATCTTGGTATTGTTTGGATATGTTGATTTGCATATATGGATCGTTTGCTTCCCAAAGCCACCACACACCTGGATCACAGCAGTCAGTGTGAGTTCCGCAGGGTCTGGCTTTGCTCTGGACACCACCCCTTCCCCATCCCTCTCCTTGAGATACCATTACCCGCAGGGTCTACGGACACAGCTGCCCTGAGGACCCGCTTCCTCCTAGGTAGTCTGAAGTTACATGGTCTCCCACCCGCGCAGAAGCTCAAGCTTCTAAGCGTTCTAAGACCACCAAAGTTACCACCCCAAGCCCGGCACACAGAGCAAGTTTCGGCTGCACCTCGGACCTCCGCTATCTCCAGCTGCACGGCGGCGCACGCGCAGTTGGCACAGAGTCGCCCGTCTGCTCCGCTCCCTCTTCAAGGCGAGTGGACACGAATGCGGAATAAGCCTTGCTGAAGCTGCAGGCGGAAGAGCTTGCAATTTGCAATTCGTAAAGCTGCACAGCCGGTGCGGCGCAGGTCGGATGGAAGGAGAGGCTTTGTGTGGTGCCAGGTCCCCGTGCTCCTTTTAAACTCACGCACGTAGTCATAGTTAGTACCTAAACCACAAAAGCAGGCAAAGGTAAGGCGACCTGCCGCTGCCCACTGGAAACATTTCAAGCAAACCACAGTGATGCTCGCTCTTACCTGTATCAAGGTCCCCAATAACATAAATACTGGCTCCTATGGGCACAGCCCCATACACGAAGGAGGAGCTGGCGGGGATGCATAAGTTCTGGTCATTAAGATAGATCCACCTGCAGGGACGAAGCCGAGACGAGGTTAAGGAACCTGGAAGGGCTGACAGGGAGCCATGATCAGATGCTAGGTGCAGAGCCAGGCTCCACCCACACTCTGCCTGGGGAAACCCGGCCTGTTAGGAGGGGCAGTGCCAGGACGCGCATGCGTGCCAGGGGCGGGGGCACGGCCATGCCGCAGCTCCCGCTGCACCAGTTATAAGGTCGTCCCCCACCGGTGGGGTGCTCTGCTCACAGCAGTGACCCGCTCCTTTCTTCTCTAAGTAGCATCCTTCCACACATAGGCCAAACTTGTTCAGCGAGAGTGCTCCGTTCTTTCCAATTGGCAGTGCATGAAAACTCCCACTGCTCAGAGCTACGCTCTTGGTATTGTCAATCTTTTAACGCACTCAGCCATTTTAAGGGTGCACTCTGTCCTAAAGACCACACTGATGTTGAGCCAGGCGTGGTGGCCCACACCTGCATCCGGAGGCACTCGGGAGGCTGCGGCAGGACTGCTGCAAGTTCAAGGTCAGCCTGGGCTACACAGTGAATTTATACAGCAAGACTCTGGAAAAACCAAAAACCAGAAACCAAAAAATTTTTTAAAAAGACCAACAATGCTGAGCCAGGCACCGCTGTATGCACTCACTGGGCACTCGGTCTCCCTCAGGAAGCGTCTGCTCCAGAGCCTCTGCATGCAGTACACCCTTCGCTGCACATGTGTATTATGAATATCCCCCCCAAACATAGTCTGCTTTTTCGTTTTCTTAATGGAATCTTCCAATGGATCCTCTTCTTCATGATTATGCTTTCTGTGTCCTAAGTAATCTCCCCCGAGCTTCAGACATTTTTCTCTTGTGCACTCTTCTGGACACTTTATGGCTTCGGCATTTCCATTTAGATCTGGGATCCATCGTGAGTGGGCTCGTGGGTAGCGTGAGTCAGAGCTCACTGTCTCCCGAGTGGAGCTGGCTGTTCCAGCACTGTTTGCTGAGGCTTTTCTCTCCCAGTGCACCGCCTTGGCGTCTCTGTTGAAAATCATTTTAACAAGCACTAAAAGGATCCAGAGCTCCGGGAAGAAAGAGCTGATTCCAGAGCTGAGGCAGAGACAGCACAAGATGTGCCTGGAGCACCATGCAGGGCCAGACGGGAAGAGCTTGAGGGCCGGCAGGCGCCCCAGGAACGGAGACAGTGCTCCCGGGCCGGGCTGGGGCCGGCTTCGTGAGGCTGGGAAGGCCAGGCCTAGATTCTCAATTCACAGAACAGAGATCCACGAGTCACTACTAACAGGAACCGATTTAGAAACTAGGTAGAAGGCGCAGCTTTTCTCTACCGAGAATCCCAATGGGTAAACGCAGACAGAGTGCGGGAGGCACAAAGTCCCCGCAGGCAAAACCACAGGCATGAGGACTGCGGCCGACACCTACCAAGGCACACGGAAGTCAGGGGCTGATAGTTTAGAGAAACAAGTTTTGCATTTGCTCAAATTATATCAAAGTTACCTACTAATTATAATGAGAAAGACACTGCCTTTCTGGTGATGAAAGCCAACAGACACCATCTCAACCACGTGAACAAGCGACCACTCCCAGATGGCACATGGACAAGGCGGTGGGTGGCTCTCAGGAGACCAAGATGCCAGCCTACCCCCAAGATCATGACTAAACCCAAATGAGACTTTCCAGGGAAGAACCTGACTGGTCACAGCAACTGCATGCATGGCAGGTCCCAGGCGGGGTCCGGAGTGGAGGAAGGTGGCAGCTGTGGGTGCCCAGTGGCCCAGGCCCGGTCACACTGTGTGGTGGACACACCCCAGTGCTGATGGCCACGCACAGTCCGCAGAGGACGGGAACGTACGGAACTCCCACACTACCTACACAGCTTTTCTACACGTGAAAAGGCTTTTCCTTTTCCTGTAGACACTGAATCCAGATTCTGACCTGCAGCACGATCCACATGGTCACAGCGGGCGGCACAGGCCCCGGCCGCCCTGTCGCTGGAACACAGGGCTCTACGGATTCGTGCTGCTCCTGGCCCGAAGTCTGCTAACCAGACAGGCCAGCACTCTTCCCAGATTACTAGGACATAAGTAGCTTCCACATTTTGATTTCTAAGAGATTTTTTGATTTGCCCCAAGTGGCAAGCAGTGCTAACTGACTGTTCCCAAGCACGCTGCCCTGACATTTCACTCCCTGAGCACTGCACACTGACCGTGGGCAGCAGTCTGCTGGGCCCGGAACTATGAATTTTGACCTCTGCTTCCCAGATCCGTCAATAAAAATGAAAATGAAGAGTTGGAAAAATGTCAAACGACAACACTGCTCACTCACACTTCAGGTTTTTGGGGCTGAACATAAATCACCAAGCCGCAGCTTTAAGTCACGGGTTGTGAGTTGCAGAAGGCCGGGAACACCCGAGCCGGGCCCGCGTGGCTCTCAGGCGGTGGGCGGCACTTGAGCACACAGGCAGCCGGGACCTGGGCTGTTGCGGCAGCTGCCTTGGCAGTGCGCCCTGGAGAGCCACGCGAGCTGACCGAACTGCTCTGGGCAGAGGACCCGGAGGGCTCGGCCATCAGGGCTCCTGGGTGAAAAGCCGGCTGAGGGGATTGGTTGAGGGATGCTGAAGGGTGAGTGAGCGGCCGCAGGCTGACTCGGGTCACGTGTTTAGCGCCCGCGGTGCTGAGTGCATTTATCACCTCACTGGCCTGGACAACTCCAGCTCAGTGTCCCCATCTGTAAGTGGGGATGCAGGCACCGTCACCAGCCTCCACGGGGTGCTGCGAGGCTGAGGTGAGGACCCGAGCAGCCCAGGACCAGAGCACTAGGCGACACGGCAAAGGCTTTCAGTCCTGGGCGCAGTGTCCTCTGGTGACTTGGAGCAGGACTGCCCGAGAGCAGAGCTGCACAATAGAGTGGGCTGCGGCAGTGAGCTGCAGAGGTGAAGGGCAGGGAAGCAGTGGGAAAGCTCCAGAGGAGGCAGCAGGCGGCTCCTATGGAGAGGAGAGGAGAGGAGAGGGGATGGGAAGGGAGGGGAGGAGAGAGGAGGGGAGAGGAGGAGAGGGGAGGGGAGGGGAGGGGGGAGGGGAGGGGAGGGGAGGAGAGGGGAGGGGGGAAGGGAGGAGGAAGGGCAAGCGTGTCTCCAGAGGCGTCTGCGTCTCAACACGGCACTGCCCCAAGTGCCAGCGAGTGACTTGGTGTGGTTGGGCCAGGCTGGGCGAGGAAAGCTGGGCCCGGTCCTCCCGGGGTCCTCCGCCTGCTGGGGCTGGGGTCCTTTCCAGCTCGTTCTCCCTTGCGTGCTTTCCCTCAGCGCGAAGGGGGAGCCAGGCCTCTCACATTAGCTATTTCCGGTTCTTCGTTCTGTGTTAGAGACGGAACCCAGGGCCTCAGGCATCCTCAGTGTGTCCCACTGCTGAGCTGTGCCCGTGGGGTGCAGCTGTGCATTCTGTAGAATCCACCGCTCTCTTCTAGTAGTAGCACCCTGGTATGGCTTCTGTCCCCCAGCGGGCCCAGGGACCCTGTGTGGCCGAGGGGCGCCTGCATCCTCCAGCTCACGCGATGCCCGAGGGCTCTGAAGCAGCTGCTTCCTCCCTCTTTTCCTCCTTCTCCCCTGGGAGCAGCGGCCAAGGCGGCAAGGGGCAGATGCCGGTGTTCTGGCCTGGGAGCAGCCGACATGGAGATGCGACCTAGGTCGCGGTGGCACAGCCAGGCCAGGGCCGGGCTGCACCGATCCGGCTTGTGTGAAGGTCCTGTACCTCTCAGTGCAATCCTGTACCTCCTGACTGACTGGCTGCGCTGTGAGAGTGCAGTTACATCCATCAGACGCCTGCACTTTTCCCAAGTGAACTGGGGGGCTCTAGCAGGTCGCCACAGCGGCCCCTTGTCTCTGATGGGGGCATCGTTTCCGCCACTGCCCCAGCACGCGGTGCTGCTCCTGGCTTCCTGTCTTGGCTGGGAAGGCCAGCCCCAGGATCTCAGCTGGCCCTTCCTGTGGTAACAGGCCCTGGCCCCAGCCAGGGAACCAACATGGGCTTCTGTCCGTTGCCCAAACGATGAACTAGACAGATCGCAACTTCAGAGTCGGCGGGACTGAGACACAAAACAGAAAGCTGGGGCAGCAAGGCTGGAGGCAGCAAACCTCAGACCTGGGCTCAGGCCCTGGACAGGAAGATGCTCAGAGGGCCCGGCACTTCCTCAGCCCAGACCCCCACATGCTGAGCAGGACACTAAGCTAAGCGCTGGCATGGACTAGTAACAGTGATGGTGGCTGGGCAGAGCCAGATGAAAACTCGTCCTTCAGGAACACAGGGAGGTGGTGGTCCCCAAGGACTGCTCTGAGGACACCAGCACAGCACCCTGAGAACGACTGTCATGCAGCAGGCTCAGCAGCGGGCAGGGCTGAGTGTGTGCAAAGATCTGCAGTGTCAAAAAGACAGGATGCTGGCTGCGGATGGCATGGGCAGGAGAGCAGGTCGAGGAGGTGCTGGGGGGACAGTGGTGTCACCAGCAGGATGGGGACATGGGGACAGAGAAAGCCTAGCTCTGGGCAGGTGTGGTTGCCACGACCCAGTAATAATTCATGGCAATTTCTTTGCTTTGCTCCTAACAGTTTTGTTTTTACTCAAAAACACAGAAAATAGTAAGACATGGCACCTTTCCAGGAAAGTTTTAACCTAAAAATAGGGAACAAAGACAGGAAAGACAAAAGATTACTGGAAAACAATCTAAATGGTCTTCGATCGAATCCAGATTGTTCATCTGGTGATAGTTTCCACGATATGCAAGGAGAGCCAGCAGGGAGCGTCTGCTGTCTCAGGAGGCGGGCTGCTCCTGGGGTTCGAGGGGCCCAGGGCCAGGCGCCTGCATCTGAGCGCCTGCCTGACACCTACTGACCTCTCCAGGCTCTGCCTCCTCCCCTGGAAGAGGACTCAGTGCAGTGCCCGCAGCTGGGAGGGCTGCTCTGCAGGCTGTGCTGGGCAGGTGCATGCAGCTGTGGAGGCCCCTGTGTGTTTAGGGGTATCTGCATTACACTAAGAGACCTTAGCGTCTCCCATTCTATTTATAAACTAACACTGGACAGCCTCAAAATCAGACTGCTGAAGGTGTGTCAGTTTTATTTGCAAGTGCTTTTAAATAGCAACAAGGAACAACACCTATGTTTAATAACGACAAATTTAAAGCAAGTAGCCGGGCGTGGTGGCTCATGCCTGTAATCACAGCATAGGGAGGCTGAGGCAGGCTGCAAGTTCAAGACCAGCCTGGGCTACAAAGTGAGCTCAAGGCCAGCCTGAACTGCAGAGTGAGCTCCTGTCTCAAAAAGACAAAAGATAAAAAAAAAAAAAAAAAAAAATCCTCCTTGCTGGAAATTTAGCTCAGCGGTGTAAGTGCCTGCCTGGCAAATGTGAGTCGTGAGTTTGATCCCTGGTACCAAAAACAAAAACAAAAACAAAAAGTATGTCAACCACAAACATGAGCCAGACTGCCAGAAAGGTAATGGTTCTGACAGTATATTGATTCTACAGGCAGACGTAAGTCCTACACAATGCGAACAGGGACAGACAGTGGCACGAACGGAAGTAAGTCAGCTTTTCCTGCAGGTGGGCTGTGGTCACGCTGGATAAGCAGGAATTCAGTCATCATGACAAGGCTGGTATAAATATTTTACCCCAAGCAAACAGGGTGCTTGTTAATGGAGCTGGACAGCTGGCCTCAATGCCGGGCAGTGCATTATGGACTGACTCACCAGCAGGGCAGTCCAGCCCCAGAGCAGCCTGCAGGAGGGTACAGTCGTCTCTGAAAACCCCGGCCCACCCTACCTAGCACACAGATGAGCTTCTCCCTCACACTCATGCATTTTCCTAAGACAGCCCACCTCTATACCTAGGAAAAAGGCTATGCAAACATCCTACATCTAAAATACACTAAAGCTCCACTGACATTTACAGTTATGCATTTCTGACCTTTTATTAACGCTTCATCGCTCTAAGCTAAAATCCAGTACTAAGGGAGTAAACACTGTGTTATGGCGCCGCCTTCTGGTGACAGCGCAGAACTATTCCAACAGAATGAGGGCACCGCAGCAGCCCCTGTCGGCAGACTGCTGTGCCCCGACTGTGCCCCCACTGTGCCACTGAAAGGCAGGAGGGGAGGGGAGGGGAGGGATCCGGGAAGACCGGTGCCGCTGCCCACCCTCTATGGCACGGGGCAGCTTGTCAGCCAAGCGGCGAGCTCAGCTACCATCTGCATCCACTCAGGGGCCGGGCCAGGCCTGACGCTCAGGTTGGATGCAGAGCCAGGGGTGCAGTGCCACCCTGCAGGAGCTCATGGCTAACACTCAGGACTCTGGGATTCCACAGGGTTGGGTCAACCAGTCACAGATCCGAGGGGGGTGGGCAGAGGTGACAAGCAGAGTTCCAGACTGGACGAGTGGTGGGAAAGGGATTTACAGCACACAGCACAGAGCTGAGTCCTGCATCTGTGGAGGGGAGGGATGGACTGTGTCTCAGCGTGAAGCGCCTGGGCTGATTGGATATTACATATTACAGAAGGCCATGTATGCTAAAATAAGGAGTCTAAGGTTTCTCCTAAAAGCTAGAGGAGTCACTGGCTTTACGCAGCTACGTGTTAGCATCTGCTCCACATCTCAGAGATACGTGTTCACAGCTTTTGTTCAAGTTACCAACACCTCCGAAGTCAATGCCTGACAGCTAGTAGCGAGGACAAAGCTGCTGAACCGTGCAGTGGAGGACCCTGAACTCAGGACTAAAAGCTGAGCCACGACCCTGAAGTGTGAGGGGAGCTGCGGACGCTACACACGGCTCGCAGTTACCTTTTAAACTCGTCGTGGTAGAACTCGGACTTGCAGGTGACCATCTCATTAACCTGGATGTCCTCACGACTTCTGACGCCCCCAAACACATACAGTTCCATGGCGACCCCGCAGGCCACGGCACCAAACCTGAAAAGCCACACAGCACAGCCGGGGTGGGCTCACGTTAATGTAGTGTGCAGTGTGTCCCGCCGCGCGGGCCTCCCTGCTCCAGGAAATGCCAGGTTGCAGAGAAGCTCGCTTTGATGGAGGAGCAAAATACCCAGGCCGGAGGCTCTGAGCCAACCACGGGAAGGGAAGCCCCGGCCCGCCTTGTGTCCACTTACCTCCTCTCTTTTAGGGGACAGATGGCAGTCCACTGCTGGGTCCTGGGATCATAACACTCCACGGACTCAAACAGTTTCCCGTAGGACCCTCCACCCATGGCGTAGATTTTCTTTTTCATAGCTGCATAGCAGCCGATCTGAAAGGAGAAAATGGTGGGTGGGGAGAGGCACCACTTATTAAAACCATCCAGCCAGACACTAGCTTAGCAAGGTGCTTGCGAAGGTGTCTGGGACGGAGCTGTTTCCAGGTCAGGGCTTGGGGTGTGATGTGTGATCAAGCACTTGTTGGCACAGACAAAGCCCTGGGTGAATCCCCAGCACGCAAGGAAAGTAAATTTGAAGGGACAGCTTCCCAGTCTCTTTCTTCACCAATATTTGAAGGTCCCAAGGTTTAGAGTCCACGGAGTAAGTGACTCGATCACTGTGGCAGTGATTTCACTGAAAGAGCACATGCCAGTACTAGAGACACACTGCCCGGCCACTGCCCTTGTGCTGTCCCGAGGCCTGACCACTCTGCTCTAAGGGGGCTAAGGACACAGAGGCTGTGCTCCGGGCGAGGCAGGCGGGGCTCCTCGCGCTCCCTGGACCCGAGCAGCCACGAGCAGGGACCCAGCGCGCTGCCCAGAGCACTGCCCAGAGCGCAGCAGGGCTGCCGCTCGCACACTGCTCCTGGCGGCTCCCAGCGCCAGCTCTCTGCACACTCTCTGTCACGTCCAAGGCGTATTTAAGAAATGAAGAAACATTAACTTTAAAATCCAGCTTGGAAACCAAGTCCTCACCTTTCTAACCATGGTCAGGTCAGGCTGCTTGGTCCAGGTTTTGGAGTAAATATCGTAACACTCCATGGAGATCAGCTCCTTGTCCCCGTCCTCCCCGCCCAAAACGTACAGCATGCCGTCTATCTCCACAATGCCGAAGTTGTGTCTTGCCTGAAAAGACATCAAAGCCCTCGGTAGGTGATGGATGATTCCGTGTCTCTGGTGACAGTTACAAGTCTCACTCTACTCCAGGCTGCCAGCGAGACCTGTCTGTGCACAGAAGGTGCGTGCCAGGGCAGCATTTCCAGGGCACGGGAGTGTGGCACGCGTGAACTTAACAGCGCGATCACTACTTGTTAACCCAGTCGGGTCCACCGGGAAGCAAAGCACCGCCTTAGGTAAGAAGAGGTTTGCGGATGCTGTTTTCATTCAACAGTGGGCATCAGTCAGGCGTCCGAGGCCACGCTGAGAGATGAGCAGACAGCAGGCCTAAGGGTCCCACAGGGGCTGGGCTGGCCACGGCCTCTTCCTAACGCAGAAGACACTAAGGTGCCACAGACAAGAAAAATCAAATGGAGAAACAAACACGGGTTTCACCTCATTCATGGGTGGCAACGCAGTCCACGTGTTGGCATCTGGATCGTACTTCTCCCCCGAGCTCAGCGTCTGCTTATTTTCATCTTGGCCTCCGAACACAAACAAAAATCCTTCTGCAAAGACCAGAAGAGACACACAAGCAACATGACACCACGTCCTCAGGCTCGGGAGCAGCACGGCACGGGGACGCGACGTTTGCAGGACCTCCACCTGCTGCAGCAGCTTTGTCTCTGGACTTGGGACCTCTGTCACATTTCATTTGCTACTCGGTGACAGAGCCAGGTCTGTGGGTCACTCTGGCCACTCTGCTTTACTCAGTAGGGCCTGTGAGGGGACTGACACCCCCACAGCACGATGGAAAGGAGCCACCGCTCCCTCAGTCACCGGGCAGCTCGGCTCAGCTCAATTTATCTGTTCTCTTCCCCAGTCTGCAGACGTCATGCGACTTCTGACCCACATTTGTCCCCAAGACCCGGAATGCTCAGAACTGGGCACCTGTGCACTTCAATTGGAAACAGAATTTAAGACCTGACTTCCTATTTTGGGAAATAGTAAAAACAACTGATTTATCTGGATAACATATTTTTCTAGTAGTGTTAGAAGTCAAGAGGATAATATGGAAAATCAGTCTGCCTGGCGGGCATCTGCCACTCTGTGACAGTTTGGGAGCGGGTACTGGGGATTGAACTCAAGACCTCATGCTTGCCAGGCAGGTGCTTTTGCCGCTGAGCTAATCCCTGGCAAGTCTGTACCTCTCAGGGATGAGAAAGAAATTTAAGTCACAGCCTGTAGCAGATGGGGCTCCAGCAGGAGAACCACTCCGAAGTTCTGCCTTGCTGTGTGGGCCAGCTGGGTCAGCGCCCACGCCCCGCAGCGCCCTGCTTGTCTAGGAAATCTCCACCCTTGCATGTGACTTATTCCAACACGGTTAGCAGTGTTTTCAGGCAGCGGGCAGAAACAAGTACAAAACTTCTGTGCAAGAAGTCCCGTCACCCAAGTCCTAAAGTCTGAACAGTCCAAGAGTTTACAATCACTGCTGCAGATAAGCTGAAATAAAATGGACAGCGGCAGCAGCAGCACTGCTCAGGTGTCACACGCTGGAACTGTCAAAGGATGGAACATCGCTGCCTGGGACACGCCAAGAGGAAAGAAGCTTCAGGGTCACTCTGGGAAAACCAAGGAGATTTGAAAAGGATTCAAAGAAAAAGTCTAATAAAAAACGCAACGGACTGGGATAATCTAGAAATAATAAAAAACCCAGTGGACTGGGATAACAGCTGATCCATCGAAGTCAGAGAACTCCTGAGGATACAGTGACTCCTCATCAGGAAGGAGGTACCCCAGAGAAGGCAGGGAGCGGAGGCCGGCGTGAGAGGGCCGGCGGGGCCGACGTGGCTTCCAAGAGCGGAGGGCGGGAGGAAGGAAACGCAGCAGAGGCACCATGCCAGGACAAAATGGACACAAGTTACTCAGAATGGATTAAAACTCAAGCCCAGTAGAGTCAAACAGCCAAAAATGCCCAAATCGGACACAATTTTAAATAAAGTATACACGCTGCAATGAAATGGTAGAGAAAAAAATCTTCAATATACCCAGAGGAAAGAAAGATTTTTTTTAGATTGACAGCTGACTTATGTAAGTGGAAAGACAACTTTAAATGGGCAGAAAAGAAAATTCTATACCCAGCAAAACTATCCTTTAAGAACAAACGCAAAACAATGATACACACAGACAAATCTGAAAAATTTTGTATCAAAAGATCCAGGTTAAAGCAAATTCAGAAGGATGAACTTCAGGGAAAAGGAAAATGATCCTACTTGGAAATTCTAGGGGTAAGGAGGAGAACAACAAACGACAAATCCAAAAAGCACTAAGTATCTGTTCATTCTTTCAGACAAAACACGTCACGAATACATATACCATGCAAACACCACTTAATAACCATGTATTTTAATATTGAAAGGCTGCTGAACATCAAAAATTCTTCTACTTAGAAGAAAAAGTGTACTAATTAACCTTGCACTTGGATAATTTGAGACACAGGTTATAATTTCTAAGGCAACTTTCCCAAAGTAATATAAAGAAGAATGTTATTTTAAAACTAGGAGGGGAAAAATTGAAAGATTAAAAAAAAGTGAAAATAAATTTTTATGAAAGGCACGAAAAGCAAGCAATACAGCAGGCTGGGGAAACAGAGGAGCTGCCCAGTCACTGCCACGTCCGCCACACAGCCGCACCCAACCCTCTGCTCACGGCTTCGCCTCTGAAATACCAGCCCACCCAGAAAACCCTCAAGGAAACAGCTGTGACGGGGCGCACGAGTGGAAATTATGGGCACGCACACACAGCAAGGCAGGACACCTCAGGGAGCTAATTCTGAAGGCGAATGGGGAAAGCAGACCCTCGTTATGTGGGCTGCACCATTCGGTCCAACAATTCACTGTCGAGAATAATTCCAGGGATTCTGAGATTCGTAAAATGATTCCACTTCTACAAAACAACACAGCTTAGCACTTTTTTCTCTTTTTTCCGGTACTAGGGACTAACCCAGGGCCTCTGCACGAGCTGCACCCCAGCCCTTTCTTCTCTTCTATTTGGAGACGGGGCCTCTCTAAGTCACCAGCTTGTCCAGGCTGGGCTTGCCCTTGCGGGCGCCCTGCCTCAGCCTCCAGAGGTGGGGTCACAGTGTGCACCCCTCCACCTGACTAGTCTTAGCCATTTTTCATGACTGGGCATGGCATAGATTTAAAAGTTTGAAAGGTGACGTTAGTGGGCAAGCAGAGACAATTCAATTAAGCACCCGGCAAGGCTGCTGACAATATCCCGGATCATGTCAAGTGGGGCTTGCTGAGCGGCCCCCGCCTGAGTGCAGGTGGAGAGGGCGGCAGTCGACTGCGGCAGGCAGCAATCGATTGTTCTGTCAGCTCCTAACGTGAGAACTTCGAGTAATTTAGGACAATCTTCAAACTTGTGAAGCTCAAGTAAGACATGCCATCTGTGGTAATACACCTTGAAGCCACTAATTAAAAGTAGAGTGGTATCTTGGTTTGTGAGCATAACTCGTTCCCTGACTGGGAAATGGCTGCGCTCATGTCTGTGCAAAGAAGATGGCCCTCCCGTGTCGTCACCCGATGCAGAGTTCACTGAAAACAGTCTTCTGAAACCCAATCAAATGCTTCTGTTCACTGAAAACAAATGCTTCTGTTTGTGAAGCAAACTGTTTGCAAACAAAGGCATGTGCGAGCACATTCTAGGGTCTCACAGGAAATGTCTGCTGCTGCACGACTGCACTGTGGCCCACCAGGCAGGGGTCCGCGGGAGGGACCCCGGGAGGCGGGCCCCCCGCCGAGGGCTTGGCCCTGCGCCACCCGGCAACTGCACACGTTCCCAGTCACAATGATCCCACTCCCGTGGGGCCACCGCTCCTTGCGGATGGTGGGAGGCCAGCCCTGACCACAGGGCTCTCTCCTGCCCCTCCTCCTGAAAGCTGGGTCCACGCAGGCCAGCTTTAAGGGTTCCGAGTGCTCCGTGGGACCCGGAAGCTACGTGTCCCTGGGCCCGGGGTCAGCTGAGAGCAGCCCTGCACGGTACCTGCAGAGAGAACGCCGTGGTTAATTCTCGGCATGCTCAGAGGGGCCAGCTCGATCCAGAGCTGCCGATTGGGGTCGTAGAGGGGGCACATGCACCGCATCACCGCCGTGGGCTTCCGTGACCTGGGGGAGAAGTAACGGACCATGGTTAGAGTTGAAGGTTCTGTTCACAACGCACCCTGCCCTTCTAGTGTGTAAGACGTTAGGAAAAGCTGACAGCCGATAAGCTTTAGCTCTGTCCCGGGGAAGCACGCCCCCACCGTCCCCCCAGCCCGCAGGGCGCCCGCCCCACGTACACGCGCTCCTCCCCGCCCACGGTCACGATGCACTCGGAGTAGCCCCGCGGCTTGAAGCTGGCCAGCATGGCCTCCCCTTGCTGCGGCTGGCTGAGCGGGATGTTGCTGCACTCTTTGACGATCTCCCGCACCAGCGGCTCGCTCAGCATCTGCTCCCGCAGGTAACTGGAGTCCAGCCCCGAGACCCACAGCGCCGACATGACGTCCTTCATGTGCACCTGGAGAGGCGGGGTAGCACGGGCCGATGCAGGGCGCCTTTGCTGACCTACAAGGGCCAGCTGCAAGGACCTGGCCATCAGGCCAGTGGCCAGTGCCAGAACCGCCAGGGTGTTCATTGCCAGCCCTCTCTCCCCACCTCCCACAGCCTGGGGAATGAGTTCAATTTTAGCAGGCAGGATGGCACACACTGCAATCCCAGTACTCAGGAGGCTGAGGCAGGACTGCTGGCAGCGGAGGCCAGACGGGGCTACAGAGTGAGCTTGGGGCTGCCCTGGACTACACAGCAAGACACTTTATCTCAGAAAACCAAAAGTTTAGTTTCAAAAAAAGTTGTCGGTTTAAATTTGTATCTGGTATCACCACAAAGTCCCCCCACCTTTCTCCCTTTTTACTGGGAATTGACCTGGGAAATGCTGAGCTACACCCCAAGCCCTTTTTTCTAACGCATTTGCTTTATTCTGAGACAGGGTCTCGCTAAATTACCAGACTTGGCTTGACCTTGCCCCTCTGCTGTCTCAGCCTCCTGCATAGCGAGGTCTACAGCATACGCCGCTGTGCCCAGTCAAGCAGACTTCTCTAAAGGGCCCCTTGTGATACGTAAACAGAGGACGACTTGCTTCCTTTGATGTTCTTACTGCACGGGGTGTGCGGAGTTCAGTGGCACTTACAGAGTACTGCATATGATAGCAGCTCAGTACAACATGCTACACTGAAGCAGTCATCGAAGAAGAACGCAGAAGAGCCAAATCTAAGGAATAATTCTGAGTACTAAATACTCACACCTGCAGCAGTCGCTTAGTGTCTAACATGTGAAATACAAATCGCATAGTTTCCGAGCCAGCTGGCGAATAGATTCTACATACGGAAAGGGAAACCCTTTAAATGGCCGGCCTTTTAAATGGCATGCTCGGGAAACTTTTCATGGATTTGAAACATCACTTTAAGGTCCATTCTTCCCTACACTGAGGAACACAAGCCCACGGTCCATGGCATGGGGTTCAGATTGCCAAGGCCGGAGAACAGCCTGGCTGCCCTGGCAACTGGCGCCCTCACACCTCATCGCTGAGGCGCAGGCCTGGCAGACGCTGGCAGGGAGCGCTAAGCAGTCAAACTAAGACCCCGATGTAAAGTGGACGAGATGCTCACCCCAATTTCAGCCCAGTTACCCAGAACAGGTAATGGTACAACGCTGCACCTGGACGTGCACTCCGAGGCCGGTCTAATGCGGGCCTGCTAGCACGGTGAGCAGCTGAGCCCCACGTCCTTGCTCCCCTCCCAGCGCCTGCCCAGTGCGGACCTGAAGATGCCGCGTTATAAATGTCGGTACCTTTCTTATCTCTGTGTCGTGCGCGATCCACCGAATCACCGCTTCAAACACGTATCGTTCGTTGCCAACATTCAGCTTCTCAAGAGAGATCACCTCTTTGAGCTTCTGCGGACTCAGCTCCAGGAACTCCTCGGTGCTGCTGACGTCCCGGAAGTGGGTCTCCAGGTACTCGGTGGCCAGGTAGTGGACGTGGTGCAGGCAGTAGTGCAGCGCGAAGTCCCGGATGCCGATGCAGTTCTCGGCCGCGATGCAGCCCTCCAGGAACTCGCAGCACAGAGCCTTGAGGTCGGTCAGCAGCAGCAGGTCTGCCGCCTGCACCACGTCCTGGATGGTGTCTTCGTTCAGCCTGATCTGTGGAGGATGCGGCACCGTACACTGCAGTGGGATGAGACACCCACCTGCGCCGCACTGCAGAACCCCGGACACTTCCCTGCTCGCAGGTCAGAGATGAGTGACTGCTGGGGATTCTCGCAGTCCCGCCTCTGGAGCTCCGGGGCTGGGGAACCTCTGACCCACATACGCAGACCCCGCCTAGCTCTTCCCGGGGCCTCCCTGCAGGGCCAGTGTGGGCGCCCCAGCCCTGCCTTCTGCGGGGGACCTCAGGCTTACACAGGACACTGGGGCCTCCAGGTACACTGACTGACCGTTCCGCTGAGTCAAGGCCACGTGTGGGCCTCAAAGCAAGGGCCCCGCTCCCCGCCTTAGGAGCCTCGCAGGAATGCCCAGGGGCTGTCCCCATGCCACGGACAGGACGGGCCCCAGGACTACCTCCTGGTGCAAATCCCTAACTGCAGATTGCTTTCCTGCACTATGAATGTTTATGCTTCCTGGGTTTTCTGCAGTTTCCTTATTGCCACTTCCCAGGGGGGCAGGGATGGGGACCCCAGAGCGCCACAGGCCCGGGGAGCACCCCGGGTCGAGGAGCACAGCAGAGCCACTGCCCGCCGCACCCCCCAGTCTGCACCAGGCGGGAGCGAAGCCTCATCACTGCCCACTGCCTGGGAGAGTGAGCAACCAACCGGAAGGCAGGCAGGATGCCGCGGAAGGAAAGCTCTTACTTCACCGGCATCTTAACTTAGCCACACGACAGCGGAGTGCCATAGACAGTTCACACGGCAGGCAGAAAACATTGGCCTGCAGCGCCACACGCTGACTGCTCTCTCCCCCAACACCTAAACGCCTGGTCGAGGAGGCAGTGAGAGCCCCCTCAGGGCTGCTTTACGTGTGAGCGGCACACTTGGGGTGTTCGCACTTCGAGGGAGACACGGCCCTTGCAGAGAAGTCAGGGGGACCAGGGGTGATAAGGCCCGAGGGACAGCGCAGGGGCCAGGCCCTCAGTGAGAGCAGGTAAAAGGCGCTTGGGGGACGCACCATCCTCCTCGCCTCACAGCTAGGGGCGGGGCAGAGGAGAGGAGGAGTCACTCCTCCCCTGGGTACCACTGCACCTCTGCGGACACACAGCTCCAGACAGCAAAGGCAAACAGGAGGAGAGGGCAGGCTGGCCGGGGAGGTGGTGCTCCAGGGGCAGCGGCACCACGGCGCCGTGACTGTGAGTGTCTGTCGCGCGCGAGTCCCCGCTCTGGGGATGATCTGCAAGGGACTCGACTTTTCCACAATGCACTGGAGACAGACCAGTACCCCAGCATGTGGACACAAGGCAAGACCAGCTTCAAGATGCAGAACACAATGGGCGGTGTGGGTCGGGGCGGGGTCATCAGTGCCTTCCTGGTCCATGCTGGAAGGTGGAGCTCAGAAGAGCAGGACCTAGACTTGGATGTGGACCCGTTTCCCTGTAGAGTGGAGCCCAGAAGGACATGTGCAGGGTGCCGTCGCCAGGAGGAGGTCCCAGCCGGAGCCCACAGTGACGAGATGGGGACGGCGTGCGGCTGCGCTCTGAACTCTGGCCCCTCCCCGGTCTCCTACCTGCCCACTGAAGATGTAATCCAGGATCTCTCGCATAACCATTACCGATATCCCTTCCAGTTCAATCTTATAAGTGGATCCATCATCTTTTGGAGGGTTATAGTTTAACTTGGTCCTAAGAAAGGGAAAAAATGAAAAATTTCTATGAAAGAACAGAAACAGCTGTAAATATTTACGCACTCAGTACTCTACAAGGCACCTCACACTCAGCAGAGTACGCATCTCTGCTGAGAAAACACAAGAAAACATGGTTTAACTTTAATTTAGATCAATATATTTTTACAGCTTTCCACTATAAAACACTGGTCTCAATGTCCAAAAACAAAGGCGAATTGTTCTGTGGCCCTATTTTCATAGTGTAAGGAGGACTCCTCACTCCCACTACCAAAGCAAAGGCTGAGCACCCACAGCCTACCCGTGCGAGGTGGTCCTCCCCAGCAATGCTGTCCTCCGCCTCCAACATCCGGAGGAAGTGTAACTTAAACCCCGTGCTGAATGTCCCCTTGCTTCTCCTTTTATTGTTGCATCCATGAAATAAGACCCACATTTTCGGGGCTGGGGATTTAGCTCAGCGGCATAAGCGCCTGCCTTGCAAGCAGGCAGTCGTGAGTTCGATCCCTGGTACTGATAAAAGACCCACATTTTCAGTTTTACACTGTGTTGAACTAGGAGTGTCACACTAACTCTGTGGTTCTCTGTTGTACACTATTCCACTTCCCACGGGTGGCCTCAACAATGGGGCGAGGGGGTGTAGCCATGCCATCTCTGTGCACAGCTCCTCTGTACGCAGTAGTTCCCCTGAGGCTGCATCATTCTCCAAGGTGGAGGATGACACTGAACGACCTCCACAACTGACAGCCCCACCCTACCCGTGGTGTGCAGAACACCTGTGGACTCACACCCCTGGGTGACCCGTGCTGACCACCGGGGGACAACCGTGCCCCGAGGCTGCCGTCTGTACTCCCGTCCCCACTGGCGCCATCTCCAGCTTCTGTGGGCACGCCTCTGTGAAGGGCCCACTTAGTTCCCGCCACGTGTTTTCCTTGAATGTGCCAGATGAAAGGTGGGAGCCTTTTACATAGCCCAGGTTACCCTGGCTTAGGGCACACTTTTGTAAAGGAGACGAACAGTCAAAAGAGCTATCTTTGTGCTACAGCTTCTTGAGCCTTAAGAACCTGTACCTCATACAGGTCTCAAAGATATTCTTGACGTTCTTTACTGAGAAAAAGGTTTTTTTTTTTTTTTTTTTTTTTTTAAAGAAAATTTAAGTGAAAAATTATTTTTTTATTTTTTGAGACAGGGTGTTATTCTGCAGCCCAGGCTGGCCTTGAACTCACAAGGAGGAGGCTGAGGCAGCCTCCTCACTGCTAGGATTATAGGGGTGCACCACCAGGCCCAGCCCTTAAGTGAAATTTAAAAAGCAACTTTGAAACACACTGTTGATACGAACTCTGTTAAACCTCAGAAAAGGCATGTTAACTGCATCCAGTAACCATGCTTCCAATGCTGATGTCTAAGGCACAGTAGTCACAGGGAGAATATCTCAGGAGCAAACATTTACATTTATTCTTTGCATTCAGCCTTCTATAATAAAGTCAGTAAAGCATCAGAATCTTAGCTGGGTGTGGTGGTGCAGTCTGCAGTAACAGCACTTGGGAGGCCGAGGAGGGAGGGTCACAAGCTCTAGGCCACCCCGTGAGTTCCAGGCCAGCCCGGACAGCAGTGAAACCCTGTCTCAACAGCAAAAACAAAGCCAGCCATGGGGCTCACACCTGTGATCCCAGCACTCGGGAGGCTGAGGGAGGAGGATCGCCAAGAGTCTGAGACCAGCCTGGACACAGGCTCTGTCTTAAACAGACAGTGAACACAAAACGAATAGGAAATAATGCTAACACTCACAAACTAGAAACCAGGTAAGAGAGTAACTGCCCTGGACTGTCTGGGGAAACAATTTCTATCAGCAGTGAGGAAAGCTTGGGGACCCCATAAAGCTTTGCACGGAGCAGCAAAACCAGCTGAAGCAGCGGACCAGCGGGTCGGAAAAGACGGCGTCCGGGCCTCCGCAGGTTCTGGGCCTGTTAGAGCGGGTGGTGGGGGTATCACGCACATTCAAGGATGTGTGAGCAGCAGTTCCCCCTCAAACACTGAAAGTAGCACTCCGACGTCTGGAAGACTCTTCAGGAGGATCTGAGCAGCCCAGGAGTACAGCCCTGACCTGCCACAGGCAGACGGTGAGCAGCTCCCACATGGAGCAAGCTGCAGACCGTGAGCTGCAGTCGGGTGCCAGGGAGGGAACTCACTACCAGGAGCAGAGGCTGCCTGCAGACTGGGGTCTCCAGATGCCTCCAGCCACCCGCAAGACAGGCACCAGCACCTTCACATGCCTGCAAACACTTTTTGGGGGGCACTAGGGGGCACTCTGGGGAAGAATGTCTTTCTGAGCCCCACTCTTAAACCGAAGGGGACTCATCAGACATCTAAGACAGAAACCAAGACTAAGAAGAAAGCGGCCTGTAGGAAGCGAAGATCAAGCACCAAGGTCACGGGAAAAGAAAGCCTCGCTGACCGAACTGGCCAGAGCGCGCCTGCCAAGGACCCGCCCAGAAACACCTTGTGCACGCGGAGCCAAGGTGGAAAGCTAAGGAAATTTCCTAAAAAGAGGAAAAAGACAAAGGCAGAAAACAGGCGAGGTGAGTTAAGAGAACTCTGGACAGTGAGGAAGCTGAGCTTCTAGGAAGCAGAAAGTCTCGCCCCCAAAAGGACGCAAGGAGGCGGCCGCGTCAGTCTCTGAGCGCATCATCATCTCGGGCAATGAGGACGGGCCCTGCAGCTCACAGAGGAGTTGGTTGGTTACGCAGGGCATGTGGGCATCGGTCAGCCTCGTGCTTGGAGATGGAAGGAAGCAGCAACGCGGGGACCACTTGGACACTCGGCAGGAAGATCATTCCCAGCTTGCATCTTTTACAGCCTGCCAGGTTACACTGAAACGTCAGGACACACAAGAGCACACAGCAAGCGACTTCACAGAGCTGTAAGACAATTTAAATGTGCCCTTGTCAACCAAGGGGCCAGTCAAGAAAGCGGAAAGCTCTGGAGAGTCTGGAAATGACAGCCAGCCCAGCAAGGAGGCCCCGCGGTACGCGGCAGCAGCGACCTCTGAGAAGGCAGCCTCGGCAGTGGCGGACCTGTAGGGGTGGAGGCTGGACAGCTTCTTTTCTCCCTGTTTAAAGCCTATGCCTGCACCTGTTTACATCAAAAGCACTGTATTTCCACTTGCTACATCCCGTGGCTTATTTGGTAACTGAAGAAAATGTTTCAGACAACTGTTAGTCAAGAGAAAATAATAGATCAAATGTGATGGTGCACGCCTGTAATCCCCAGCACTCGGGAGGCTGAGGCAGGAGGATCACCGAGAGTTGGAGGTCAGCCTGGGCTACACCAGCCCAACTGCAGTGAAACTCTGTTTCAAAAAAGATAAGAGAGACAGGCAGACAGACAGACAGAGAATAGTATCACGGTAAGAATAACACCCAAGCTCTTAATCTCTGGCTTCCAATACACTACTCTCCCTGGCAACGTTTTCCTCACGATGCCACGAGGCTTGTCACATTCAGTCCCTGTGCTTGCTACTAATGTATCGCCTCTTGCCTTCAAATCCACCCTTTTCCTGTTCTGCAAAACAGGTAGAAGCCTTTTAATACCCTTTCCTTGTCAACTGGCACTGAGTATTCCAGAGAGGGCACCGCAACACAACTCGAGGAGGAAAGGCCTTGCTGCTGCGTGGTGGCCCAGCAGCGTGTGGGCTCCGCAGTGCAGCTGTCTCTCCTGGCCTCGACCCTGGGCGGCCAGAACCTCGGTCAGGCCCCTCACGGGAGAGCCCTCAGCCACAGGGGGCGGATCACCAGTGGGGCTCTCCTGCCATCCGGGAGCCACGGTGAGCCCAGGCTCCAGTCAGCCCTGGGCGGTGGCTGCTGGCTCTGTGACTTTTCACTTTCCTTACTGTTTACTGACCAATCCTCACTGCCCACTCCGCTCCTCCAAGCAGCTTCCTTGGTTCAAGTCTCCCTGCAGCTTTTCTGTCTGGACCAGACCTGGCTGATGCAGCACTGGCCTGTGTCAGTTGGCGCTCACTAGAGAAGCAGGCTCAAAGCCACACATCCAGATATGTAAGACTGTCCAAGCCTGGCTCACAATGGCCTCCTGCAGTCGGGGTGGGCTGGGAGTACCCCGGACATTGGAAGGTCCCATCCAAGGCCTGGATCCCACCGCAGCATCCTGTGCAAGTCCGTATCAGGAGCCCGATGGGTCTGTGATGGGATGCGTTAGAGTCTGTGCTGGAAGCCAGGAGGCGACCTCCAAGCTGAAGGTGCAGGCCGGGCTCCTCCGAAGGACCACAAGCAGCCTTCCTGCTTCCTCCTCCGGCGGAGGCAGGCGGCTCTTCCGTCTTCACTAAGTCCCCTCGGCCACTCGCAGACCTGTGCAGATTCGATTTAGCTGGGTGATTCTCACTCAACACAACTGGCTAACTGCCTCAGGGAGGCCGCGAAGCTGCAGTTGGAATCGAGTTTTTCCTACTTTAATGCAACCCACGATCGGAGGAGAGCAGGCTGCACCTGTGTGTCCTGCAGCTGGCGGCAGGATGAGGGGACCTGGGCTCCTGGAGAACTTTTCATGGTTTCCTTTTTATTTTAACCCCCGTGACTGCATTTGCTTTTAGATGACCTCACCGTCATGTTTTCCAGTGAGAGGGACTCCTTCTGAACTGCAGCTATGCCTAAGCAGGTAGGAGAATACGGATAAGGGCAAGGAGGACAGAAAAAGGAGCTGGAATATGAACACTGACCGCCTCAGATGTCTATAAGCACGATCCTCTCCAAACCCTACGGAGAAATGGATCACATATGCAGGGGCGCTCTGAGCTGGGAGTCCGATCCTCAGGATGGCTTAGAGTCAGCCGCAGGAGCCTCTCCTTCCGCCCCGCCCGGCCCTCTGCCATCCTCACTGCCATCTGTGCGCACTGATGCCAACCCCGTTGGAAGACCGGTCCCCAGTCACTGTCCTGCCCTGGCAGGGCCGCCACCCTTATCTGGCCACCGGTGAAAGCAACTGTGCTGG